CAAAAAATAGGACGGGGGAAAACACCTCACCTTCCGGCAATGGTCGGGTCGAGTGAGGACCTCCCGTGCCCACAACCCGACACCCAAGGTTCCCGAGCGAACCTTGATTCGAACACAGATTCGAACAAAGCATTTCGCTCGCCACATACACAGGCGAGCGAAACAAATTAGGAAAATAAACAAAATAGCCGAATTTCTTCACAGAGGGAAAGCAATATTTTTTACAGGAACTGAATTGCGTTAGCCATGTGTCATTACTAATAAACGTGAAACATGCAATGGACATTAAGTCTTTAGTATCAATCTAAGCTGATGAAATAATGCACGCTCTAGACTGCCTGAGGCGATGCACATTTCTCTCAGAAGCTCAAGTAGTTTCTGTCGCCTCTGAGGGTGTGGGTTGAGATGCACATATAAACAGTAAATAAATTTAAAAAAAAGGTGGATGTGTTTGTGTATTCGCGCGTGCGTATGTATGAATGTATCTATGCATGTGTACCCCTATAAATGTATCTATGCATGTGTACCCCTATAAATGTATCTATGCATGTGTACCCCTATAAATGTATCTATGCATGTGTACCCCTATAAATGTATCTATGCATGTGTACCCCTATGTGTGTATGTATCTATGCATGTGTACCCCTATAAACGTATCTATGTGTACCCCTATAAATGCTATGCATGTGGTATCTATGCATGTGTACCCCTATAAATGTATCTATGCATGTGTACCCCTCTATGCATGTGTACCCCTATAAACGTATCTATGCATGTACCCCTATGTATCTATGCCTGTGTACCCCTATAAATGCATCTATGCATGCATCTATGCATGATGTATCTATGCATGTGTACCCCTATAAATGTATCTATGCATGTGTACCCTATAAATATATCTATGCCTGTGTACCCCTATAAATGTATCTATGCATGTGTATCTATGCATGTGTACCCCATGCATCTATGCATGTGTACCCCTATAAATGTATCTATGCATGTGTACCCCTATAAACGTATCTATGCATGTGTACCCCTATAAATATATCTATGCATGTGTACCCCTATAAACGTATCTATGCACGTGTACCCCTATAAACGTATCTATGCACGTGTACCCCTATAAACGTATCTATGCATGTGTATAAACGTATCTATGCATGTGTACCCCTATAAACGTATCTATGCACGTGTACCCGTATAGTTGGCTGTTAGAGCACCTGTAGCATCAAACACCACATGACCAGCAGCCCCCTTAAGGTCCCGTCGGAGGCCCACTGGAACCCAGCTAATAGACGTCCAAAGAGGATATGTCCATCATTGGTTGCATTCATCCTCTGTTGCACCTGCCGCGCCCTCTCTCTCTCTCTCCTTGCATTGCCGTATGCATTAGTCATGCACACGATCTGCAAGACTCAATGATCAGTCTTGTTGTGTGGATATTTCGGAAGACGAACTCCATGTGAATAAGATAATTATTCACCGTGTACATAGATGGTATTTAATGAATATTTTCACAAACGGACGAGTAAGTGAATTTCTGACGGGAAATGCATCGTCATTTCTCGAGTTTCTGGCAACTTCAGGTCTTGATAGTGAAAGCGTGATGAAAATTAGAGTAACGTGAGCGAGACAAATTAAACAAAATATGAATAAAAATAACGTCAGACTATCCGCAGCCTAATTTATCTTATACAAATATGCCATTCTATTATCACATATTCCCGCTGTTAAATCCATTCGTCAAAGCTCCTGTATAAGTGCTTATAACATATTAACGTTAATTATATTCGATCATTGATAATATTATGGGGATGAAACTAATGAAAGAAAGCATATTCTAAGCTCATTCAACAGATAGAAACGTATCATGTAGTAATAAAAGTTTTTTTTTCTTTTTTTGCTAGGGAATATAGTCTAATCACGCGAACACCAGCTCTGGGAAAGATGTCGAGAATCATCCTTTATGGCTGCTGATGCCTCCTTCCCATTCACTCTAGATAACTGGGACATTTATGTAAGGAAATTCTATCTACGACAATATTAACTCTATTTTTCCTCAAAAATAACTGAAATAAAATACCTGACAAAATCGGAATGCGACACTGCCGTTAAGTCCTTGTTGTGAAACGCTCTTTACAGTGTCATTTCGAAATTTTGTCTCTATAAATGTCATGTCTCTTAGCTGTGGATCCACTTCCTTTTAGTATTGGATCTATTTTTAGAGATGTCTGAATGCATGTCATATCTTGGCAAGCCTTTTGGTGCAGATGTGGTTGATCAGAATAAATGCCTATCATAAGTATAATTTTTTATTGTTTTTTTTCATTGGTCTCGATAATAAGCTTGTCATTTTTTTCTCACAATGTAAGGCTATTTGTTGATGATTTTTGAACGTTAATATGGTAATAAGAAAACCATATCAACCTCATTTTTTCTAGTAATTTGATGCGAAACGTTCCACACCTTATTTATTTTGTTAACAGGCTCTGCCAGAATGTGCTAAAAAGGCATAAGATACACAGCAACAGGATTTACTCGCAATCTATGAAATACAAGGAGGGTGCACATCTCGGCAAGGACATCGCCTAAACTGCAAGTGAATATAACTTAAAAGAGAAGAATTTCCAAGACTTGATGACAGAATGTTAGCCAACTGCAGTAACCATATGAACATGAAATAAACATAACCTTCACGATCGACATTTCTGTTCCTAATACGTTACAATGAAGCAAATATTTGAGAAAATTCTCTCGGAGACGGACAGGAAAAATAAAAGTCTGAGGAATGTCATGGACATACGCAATAAACAGGGTGTGTAAGAGAGGCGTCCCCACCGCCGCGCAATAGTAAACAAGAGGCTGCAAAGATATGATTGAATACTATCGATCATTTTACGGATTTGTTATATACTATTTCATTTTGAGAAATATAAAAGGGTATGTAAACAAAATGAACTTATTTCACTCATGCAAAAAAATAGGTGGAATATAATTACTAAAGGTATAGAAACGACTTAATGTTGAACATATACCTTCAAAATTTATTTGTAAATAGTAACTCCAAAGAGCTGACACAAAGATAATTTTCAGTATGAAGTTACAGCCAACGACACACCACCGTCAGCTCCACCACATCTCCCTCTAAGGACACTGAATGGCAATACGAAGAAAATGGGTTACTGAGGTCGGGCATCAGAAATGGGTGGGACAAAGTGGGCAAGGGAGCGCGGTTACCTTCTAGCCCTGACTGAGGCTCAAGGACCTGTTTTCCAATGGCCTCGGGCGATGCCTTACGGTACGCTGGGAATTTATGTTGGTGCCGTTTCCCTGTTTATGCTATTTCTTTCGTCGGTATTGAGGTCTAAACAAAGAGGTGGTCACGAGAGAGAATTTTATTTGAAGGCGTGTCTTTATAGAATCTATTTAGCGACGTCGGTATTATTCAGAGTAAATGCTGTCGTGTGTTCTAAAATTTGGAGAGTTATCACTAAGAAGCAGCACCTGATCAGTACCCAGAGGTAGTAGGGGCGTAAACAAATATTACTACCAATTAAAATTCTTAACATATATATATATATATATATTATATATATATATATATATATACATATATGTATATGTACAGTTGCAGAATTATATTTCAATACACTTGCTGGGTCCAACTTCTGTACATCTGGCAAGCAATCGAAGTAAATATAGCGTACATACCATTTTTTTGTGAATGAAGCTAAAACCCTATGTAGTTTGTAACAAAGAGTGTGATTGGTCGGATACAAATAGCCAAATAGCGCATCAATGAATATTTTTGGAAATTAAGTAAGCCATTTGATATTCTCTTTCTTCAAATAAGTTATATCAAGAAATGAAATTTTAGTTATACGTGACTTTGTAGTGGGATATCCCTCAAATGCGATATCCTGGAATTGTTTGTTTATCGAAAGAGCAACACCTATGGTGGGGAGGCAGCATTTCCCCTTTCTTTCAGCATTAGAAGTATTAGTTATAGCTGCATATTTCTTGAATCCCGATCATGTTTTATGCTTTAGTCATCTATGTATGGCAACTACATCTGCTAAAAGTATCTGTAAAATCACTCAGACCTTTGTAAATACTTATGGTCGCTGCACCATCTGGTGGCGACTAATCGAACTAATGAAGTGATTGATTTTTTTTTCTTTTTTTTGCCAGCACCAAATACTTATTTGAACAAACAGAAACCATGCTACATTGTGCTCTCTAATATAGAACATGAAAAAAACACAAAATCGCCGTGAGGCTACAGTGAATATATACATGCGTTATTTTTTTGTTTGTGTGTGTGTGTGCTTATATATATATATATATATATATATATATATATATATATATATATATATATATATACATATATATACATGCCACACACACGCGCGCGCGCACACACACACACACACACACACACACATATATATATATGTGTGTGTGTGTGTGTGTGTGTGTGTGTGTGTGTGTATGTGTGTGTGTGTGTGTGTAAATATAGATATGTATACATATATATATGCATATACATAAATACATCCACACATACACATACATGTATATTTATATATGTACATATATGTATGTATATATATGTATGCATGCATGTATATATGTATATATAATATATGTATCTATATATACATGTATGTATGTGTATATATTTGTATACACACACACGCGCATAGACATATATGTGTATGTTACATTCTTTTAGCATAAACCAAAGTATAAACTACCAATATAAATTATATGCGTATAACCTCAGCCAACTCTTTGCCTCTCGACTTCCGTCAGAAATACTTACGGGAATCTCACAACCCGTCTTTAAAACGACCAAACAATTCTAGAGACACACAAAAAAAGACAAATTTCAGCGACTGCGCACCTTATTCCAAGTTGTCGCCGAAAGGAGCCACGTCAGAGACCAGAAACGCGCGACAACAGCTGAGAGGATCTTTTCGCTCCTGCCTCTAGCACGGCGGGACACCGACTGCAGTCCGGCGGCGGCTTCCCTTATGAAGGCACTTGTAATTACCGAAGTATATTCTTTTACATTTTTTTTTTTCTTTTGAGGAACGGGATTATATCTTCCGTCTGTATAGAATTTAGGGATATGATAGATCTTTGCTTATGAGAGCGTCCGCTGCATTTTCTCGGAATTCTTAAAAGAAGTAATTGTGGCAACTCTCTCCGTGGTAGGCTACCCTGCCCTATGTACTGGTGCTTATACCGTATATAATTATTCGATCTATATAATCCTGCTGCTGTAATACTGTGTAAACAATCCTATAAACGAACCATATAAAATGAAAATATCGGGAAATATTTATACACTGAAAATTACTCATGTCATACAATATTAAATCATATCATATATTACAATGTTGAATATCACTTATTCCAAATGACATTTACTAACAATATTATAATATCAAATCGTACATATGTCAATGATGTTCCTTCCTTACATGGATTTTTTTTTTATATAATTTGTTTATCATTTAAGAATATAGCAAACAAGATAGGGAGAGAGGGGATAGATACAAAGACATGGACTCAGGTCAGAAATAATAGATTTGAATAACTTGTAGAGGGTGATACTATCATGTCCGCAGTCCAGTTAGATTTAGTACAAAGATTGTGAATATATATAATACTCAGAAAGAAAAATAGTTTACACTACGCAAGATTGTTATTAAATAGAAACAAAGAACTGTTCAAGAGTTCAACGTAAAATAATGAAAACAGAAAAGTATAGAGGAGTAAAAGCCGAAAACAGGAAGTGAAGCGCTGATCCCTCGGCGATTCTGAATCTCGAAGCCTCTTTGTACCGACCTGGTGCTACGAAAGCCCCCTGTATGTACTGCGACCGAGGCTGGTACACACACACACACACACACACACACACACATATATATATATATATATATATATATATATATATATATATATATATATATATATATATTATATATGTGTGTGTGTGTGTGTGTGTGCCTGTGTTGCGTACATTCATACATACATGCACACACACACACACACACACACACACACACACACACACAACACACATATATATATATATTATGTGTGTGTGTGTGTGTGTGTGTGTGTGTGTGTGTGTGTGTATACATATACATATATACAACGTTCACCTGCATGTCGTACAATGATGTCACCCCCTCCCATTCGAGTAGCTATGCGAGCGCGGATTCTCATAATTGTTATTTTAGTCTCTAAGAGCAATGAGAAAGTAATATGTTAATGAAGTGTCCTCTCTCTCTCTCTCTCTCTCTCTCTCTCTCTCTCTCTCTCTCTCTCTCTCTCTCTCTCTCTCTCTCTCTCTCTCTCTCTCTCTCTCTCTCTCTTGTTTATGGTTGTTTATGGAAGTGGAGATACAAGCATGAGTATGTGTATTACAGACAGAACTTAGAAATATTGTTCACACTGACCAAACATGAAATTGCTTTTACTTTATTATTCTCATTAACTTATTGTGAATCCTATGGTCAGTTACTGTATGTAACTGTGTTACGAAATTCTAATATGCGTTTATTATTGTTACTTATTCTGAATGATATGCGCAATTACTACAAATGAAGAACTTAATCACATTCATAACTGTACTTATACCCGGGTTAATGCGTGTATATGACGAAAAAAACAAATAAACAAGAACCCACTTAATTTACAGCCTTTATCAATGACAACTTTTATTAATGAACGCAGACATCGACATTTAAAAGAAAAAGTTCACCGCGACACTGAGATTTCAAAGAAACTTGTGTCTCTGAAATTCTCGCCCGAGCTGCTTGTCACGTGACACAGGACGTAACTCACAGCGCGGTTTTCAGAGAGGAAGAAACACACATGGGCACTTGGATATATTCTAATTCACATTGGCCGTTTAAAAGGTTTATTGATGTGCACTTGTCAGATTTGATGTATTATTCTGATTCACTTGATTATTGTAAATGATTAACTTATTCTAATTCATAGTGTAATTACACCTGTTTTTTTTTTTTTTTGTGTGTGTGTGTGTGTGTGTAAGGCCACAGCATTTTTTTTCTTGAATAGCGGGCCAGTCGACATTTATTTTCAGGAAAAGGGAAAAAATGAAAATCCCGAATCTTTTTTAGTTTAATTTCCCGCGAAAGAAATAGCAGAAAAATAAATAAATACAAATCAATTTATCTATGAGTCATTGTGTATGGCATCGTTTTTCCCGTCCCCCCCAAAAAAAAAAATTTATTTGGTGGAAATACCTTACTCTCATGCGCCATGTCATGTTTATTGTCTATCGTGTCCGTGGTCGGTGGTCGCTTCTGATCAGTACTGGCGTATTTCGGAAAATGTGCAGAAAACCTGCACACTAGGATGTAAACACTCACATTCAAACAAAAATGGCCATTTCGAGTGGTGTGCAAAATGGCAAAGTACATATATATATGTCATTTTTAATGAATATTTTGAATATTGATTTCCAAAGTAAATTCTGGTTTGAAAGAATTTTTTGTGTTTTCATTCAACTCCTCGAAGACTTCCAGTAAGACAGAATTGTACATGCTCCAAGTGGGGCTGGAACTGATACATGGTGATGGGGATTTTTTTCACTCCCGCTTAAAGGAAAACAAATAACACATTTTCTAATACACATCCACCTTTGAATAAATCTTTATTGTGAAATGCTAATTTTAGGGCATTTCATAAATTTTCCTAAATATAAGAAATGATAGAAGTATCTACATGTTCTTATTCATATGCGCAGTTGCATCTCTAGTGCGTTATCACAAGGCATATTATGCGTTAACCCGAAAGAACGTGAAAACGCGACTATACGTCCTCCTCATTATTTCGACCTTGAACCGTGCTGTGTGCTGTGTAGAGCAGTGGTGACGTGCTGGGCTTGCAATCTTGCTGACCTGCGTTCGATCCTGCGCGCTGCTAGTGAATGGTAACCCCGGCCATTCCTTGCACACAGGGGGGGGGGGGATTTAGAAGCAAAATAAAAACAGACAGTATATCACGGCAAAGAATATCCATTGTATCAAATGGAATTAACACTAAAACTTTAAATCTTTAAAATATTTAAATCATGTTGACAAATGTAGAAAAGGTATGAATGAGAATAAATATCTTCACAATACAAGAGATGTATTTGACCGGCTTCGATTTCCATCACATCTAACGAAGATATAATCGAAACCGTTCAAATACATCTCTTTTATTGTGAAGATATTCATTCTCATTCATACCTTATCGTTCATAAGGTCATGGATATGTCGTTTCTCCGGGATGAGGTCAGATGATCTCGATGGTTGCGAGGAGGGGGGGGAAGGGGGGTATGATCCCGGTAACGACGGTGATGGTACAGCATTCTCAGACCAGTGATACATGTACCCGTCTCCCCAATATACACTGAAAAAAAAGCATTGGGTAAGGATTGTGATGTAGCGGGTCGTATTAGCATCCTAAGGGAGACTATTATTCAAAAAATATTATTATTATATTAATGCCCAATATTCATGCTTTCATTTTCATATACTATTCATTATTCATCTTTAGTTATAAGACAAATTATTGAGTGATAGATTCATAAATGTTTTGAATGTCTTAATCTTCTCACCTTATAAGGCATTCGACGCGGCAGATAATTCTAAAGGGTCACTCAATCCATCAATCTTGTTCTGGTGTAATGACGGCGATGGTGCCCTCTCGTCTTGAGATGTAACCAGACAAGAAAAGTAAACTCAAATCAACCCTCACTGTGATTCAAAATGTTCTCATCCGTCAAAACTGAAGACAAACTCAAATGCATCTGGCAAAATTCCATTTCCCACTCCATATTTATGCGTAAAAAGAAAATCTGACACGCAACGGCAATAGATAATATTTTTAAAATGTTTACATAATATAACAAAGGTTCAAGCCTCGCACGAATAACTCATAAGAAATTACCTTTGTGGGCGATTAAATAAGCTTCAGAGCTCTCTTTCTCTCTCTCTCTATCTCTGTCTCTGTCTCTATCTCTCATAAACTTAGTATAGTAACCGTTCTTACTTCATAAACGGATCGTCTTCATAAGAATTAAATTTTGTGAAAAAGGATAATGAAATTCATGTTGAACTCAATGTCTTTATGATGGCTTCCAACCTAACACAATCCCGCCTCTTAACAAGCACTAACCCACATAAACAAAACAAATTCTGCCCAAGGATAGATGCGGAAAACCTGTCTCGAATATTTGTACATGTTGGCAACCTACCTGACTGTCTGTCACCTGGGGGGGGGGGATAATTACCCGCTCTGCCCGGTCCGAAGCCGATATAAAATTTTAAAACCGATTGTATAGACGACCAAGCTTGCGAAAATCAAGGATAATGCGTATTATTTCTTTTCGGGATTAAAGCTACAAGCATTGAATTGTACCATCAATTGCTTGTTGGTATTCAAATCAATTCAACAGTTTATTTATTAGAGCGTCACGATACAATTTTTCTTTTAACAATCAAATATATAACAACACTATTAAAAAGCTTGTTCCGATTAGTCAGACAGAGAGGCGCGATATACCATCCCCTTTGACGCAATAATGTGCTTGTAAAGGGCGTGGCCATATCTCACCGCTTCTTTGCGAAGTTCTCTCGTGGGCGTGCGAACTGAAATGATTTTGCTCTTCTCTTCGGCACCGAGGGCGTGGGCTGTATCACTGCTACAACACCGCAAAGCTACTGCTGCTACATAACTCGAAAGCTACTATTTACCTCTTGACATCCACGTATGAACGCTTATCTAGCGACCATAGTCATCGCTTGTCCCCTCACACGTGCCGACCTATATATTCGCTAATTGGCCTCAAGGGTAATACAATGTTTTTCAAAGAGCGTTGTTACCTCATTTCTCAAATTAATATATTATTTTTCTTATGATCTATAATGCAGTCTCTGGAAATTGCCGAGCTTTACCGTAAAGCCTA